TTTGGTTTTTCGAGACAGGGTTTCTTTGTGTAGCTTTGGTGCCTTTCCTGGAACTCGCTTTGGAGACCAGGCTGGCCTCGAACTCACAGAGATCCGCCCGCCTCTGCCTCCCGAGTGCTGGGATTAAAGGTGTGTGTGTCTTTTTAATACCACATCTCATATCTATTTTGCACGTCTGTGCATATGCATGCTTAGGCCCCGCAGCAGGAGTGAGGAGGCCAGAGGACGACTTGCAGGAGTCGGTCCCTCCACCATGTGGGCCCAGGGATTGAACTTAGACATCAACAGCTGATAAAAATGCCTTTTTATTTATTTATTGTTTTTATTGAGACAGGGTCTCTACACAGCCCTGACTATCCTGGATCTCACTCTGTAGACCAGCCTGGCCTCAAACAGAGATCTGCCTGCCTCTGCCTCCTGCGTGCTGAGATAAAAGCAGCCACCATGCCTGGCTTAAAAATTGCCTTTTAAAATCACCTCTGGGGCAGAGTCTGGGGAGCCCTAGGTCCTCAGCGAAGCTCCTGGGATAGCCTTCCTCTCCATGTCCATCCCCAGTGGTCCCTACGCTGTTCTTGTTTTTACTTTTTGGCTCTTTGCTGTTTTGGGGGCCCACCACCCAGCTCCCGAATCACACACGGAGGCTTATTCCTAATTATTTTTTTACCAAGTGTATGGCCTTTCAGGGAGGGGGAACCATTTATTGTATTTTACTTTTTAGGACAAGGTCTCTCTTAGCCAGCTTTTCTTAACTTAAATCATCCCATCTACCTTTTGCCTCTGGGCTTTTTCCTTTTCTTACTTCTGTGTATTTCACTCTCACTCCGTGGCTGGCTGGGTGGCTACGTGGCTGTGTGGCTGTGTGGCTGGCCCCTAGTGTCCTTCTCTTTCTCTTGCTCCAGATCTTCTCCTCCCAGATTTCTCCTCCTATTTATTCTCTGCCGGCCGGCCCTGCCTATCCTTTCTCCTGCCTCACTATTGGCCGTTCAGCTCTTTATTGGGTCATCAGGTGTTTTAGACAGGCCCAGTAACACAGCTTCACAGAGTCAAACAAATGCAACAGAAAAGAATGCAGCACATCTCTGCATCATTAACAGATGTTCCCAGCACAAACAAATCTACACATCTTAAAATGATATTCGGCAACAGCACCCCGTGTGTCCCTCTGGGGTCCAGTTCACAGTTGCGGGGCGCCCGTGCCTGACCATTGTCCGTTGTCCGTTGACGGCATGCCCTGGGCCTGCCTTGTTCCCCTCGGCTGGGCCTAGGACTCGAGTGGGTACTGTGCTGGAGCTTGAAGCTGCCAGGACAAGGTGCTCACTATAGGGCCCCAGGATCTGTTGGAGGTGTGCACTTCAGCCCAGACACCAACTTCACACTCACATCTGCCAGGCCCCGGGGCCACTGCTCCATGAGGAGCTTACGCACTAGTGGACCGAGGACACTGAGGGCAGCCAGCTAGTCCCAGGTGACTCCTGAGGGACAGTTGGGCCAATCCAGGGATGCCAAGAAGGGGATATTCCTGGGGGCCAGAGCGGCAGCTAGGCCTAGGTGCCACCCAGAGTCCTGGGCCTACAGCAGCCACTGGCCTCATGTGGCTGCCACGCACGCTAGTGTTCCTGTGCCCACAGGTGGAGGGTGCGTTGAGCTGGGAGCTACCTTCCGAGGGCCCTGCTCAGTAGCATGCTCACTTGTGGAGGGACAGTACCTGGACACGCAGCTGACTGTCTCTGCCCTCATAGAGCTCCTTGTGGCCTATGACCTTCGGCCTGGCGTGCTGTGCTGTGGAGATGATGCACATGGCGGCTCCACGCTACGACATGGACCGCTTTGGTGTGGTGTTCCGTGCCAGCCCGCGTCAGGCTGATGTGATGATTGTGGCTGGCACACTTACCAACAAGATGGCCCCCGCACTCCGCAAGGTACACCTGGTCCCCTTGGCCCCTTCCGCTGCCCAGCCACCTGCAGACACCTGACCTGAGTGTCTTGTAGGTGTACGACCAGATGCCTGAGCCTCGATATGTGGTGTCCATGGGGAGGTGAGTGTGAGCTCGGCTGCCTAGGGGAGTAGGGTCCACCCCAGCGCCCCCACCGACACAGCCCCCAGGGCCCACCCCAGCGCCCCCACCGACACATCCCCCCAGGGTCCACCCCAGCGCCCCCACCGACACATCCCCCAGGGCCCACCCCAGCGCCCCCACCGACACATCCCCCCAGCTTGCCTTGAAGGGCTCCAGGCAGCCCCACAGCCCCTCTGTTTTCCCATCTCCCACTCTCGGCTTCTTCAGTAGCTGTGACTCGCTCAGCCTGTAATGAATGCGGGCATGGAGCCCAGGACCTTCCGCCCGCCAGGCAAGCGGCTCCACCACCGCTAGATCCCAGCCCCCGCATACTTTGTTGATGGAGGCTGTGGAGGAACCCCTGGGAATCCCAGTTGTCTGGGACACTAGATCCAGACAATCCAGTCTTTAAAAAAGAAGACACTGGGTATGGTGGCCAGCTCTCTGGAGGCAGAGGCAGTCAGATCTCTGAGTTCAAAGCCAGCTTGAACTACACATTGAATTCCTGCTTCAAAAAATAGAAAAAGAGGGCCATGGTTGGGCTAGAGATTTACCCGACACGCGGGAACATGGGTTCCATCCCAGGGCCAAGTAACCTGGGTACGGTGGCACATGCCTGTTACACTCAAGGCCATGTGCTGGGTAGTAATTGCAGACTTGTGAAGCCGTCTTAGACCCACAGACCCACCCCAGGTCCGTCAGCAGAAGTGCTTTGGTTGAGGGCACTTTTCCCTTTTGCTTCAGTGGCACTTGCATCCCCCACGTCCCACGGAAGGTTCTGGAAGCCCCTTTTATCGCACCCAGTTCTCAGCAGGGTGGGGGTGGGCAGGGCCGGGCGGACGTGCATCTCAGCTGCCCACTGCTCTCCCCAGCTGCGCCAACGGCGGCGGCTACTACCACTACTCCTACTCGGTTGTGCGAGGCTGCGACCGCATTGTGCCCGTGGACATCTACGTGCCAGGTGAGGTCGGCCACCCCCCACGCCAGACACGGTCTTCGAGCTGAGAGCCCGAGCTGAGAGCCAGCCTGGGTCGGCCCCTTCCTGTCTCCTGGGTCCTGGAGGGCAGAGAGGCAGACGTCATGCGCCTGTTCTCTGTCCCGACCCCCAGGAGCACTGGGCACGGTGGCCCCTCGGCCGCCCTGGAGGGGTCTCGACTTCGCTGAGCTGCAGGTCCTTTTCCAAGCCCGTAATGTCTTAGCTGTGTGTCCCTTGTCCTGCCCCCAGTGGCTCTCCGCCAGCAGACTGCTGGGCAGCAGGGCTGTGTGCCTGCAGGCTGCAGTCCTAAGGTCGCAGGCATTCCGAGGCCGGGAAAATTCAGCTGTCTCCCTGCCCTTGGCCCGAGACTCCTGCCCATCTCCCTGACCCAGGGTCCCGTCTGGTCAGCAGAGCCACAGCCTGGGCCCTTTTCCGTGTGGAGCCACAGGCAGCTCGGGAGTGGTGTGGGGTCAGGAGGCCCAGCACAGCAAGGACACTGTCCCTCCCAAGTCCACCCCAGGGCACCCGAGTCCTCCACGTGGGCTGGTGGAGGCCTCAGCTGTGTGTGCCCCGCAGGCTGCCCGCCCACGGCCGAGGCTCTGCTCTACGGCATTCTGCAGCTGCAGCGCAAGATCAAGCGGGAGCAGAAGCTGAAGATCTGGTATCGCAAGTAGAGCCGCCGGGCCGCGCACCAGCCCCGGATCCCAGTGTGAATAAACCCACCTAAACCCAGTGTGTGCTGTGTGGACTGGGGCCCCTCGGGCAGGCTGAGGCTGGGGGTCGGGAGGCTGGTCCGCTCAGACTGTGACCCTGCCCGCTGTGCAGCTCAGGACAGTCACCACCCATTTCCGGGCAAGTGAGGACCGTGGTCTCCTCTGACACATCCCTGGCCAGCTGTTTGCCCCGGAGAAGGAAACTCGGCTTGATACCCTCTGGTGTGGACATGAGCTTAGAGTCCGTTTTCATGACTCGGCCTCTGTGTCCACTCTGCAGTTCTCAGCTGGCACTTCCAGCTGGCAGGCCGGGGACACACCATGGCAACCCAGGATGTGGAGGGGCAGGTGCTTGCCCAGTCCAGGGGAGTTTTTGTGTTTTTAGTTTTTGTTTTGCTTTTTTTTTTTGTTTGTTGGTTTGGTTTGTTTTTTCTAGACAGGGTTTCTGTGTGTAGCTTTGGTGCCTGTCCTGGCTCTCACTCTGTAGACCAGGCTGGCCTCGAACTCACAGAGATCTTCCTGCCTCTGCCTCCCGAGTGCGTGGATTAAAGGCGTGTACCACCGCCTGGCGTAGCGAGGATATTTTTAATGGGCAGGAAGGATATAGAATAGATTTTAAAACGTTGATTTCCATTAGAAAAGAAAGGAAGAGGGAGCGATTGGAAACGGACAGTGGTTGATTGGTCGTGTCTGGGCAGGGCAGGGGCACCGGGCACCACAGCTGCTGAGGCAGAGGCGGGGTCTGGACCAGATGTGTCCCTCCCCGCCCGCCCTCCGGCTCACTGCTGAGGGACCAGTCCTCTTGTTAGCTCTCATTTACTCCCTGAGCTCTGGGAAGGCAGTGGGGCCAGGCAGGGACTGCAGGGGGGCCGAGGCTGCAGCCCACACTCCAGCCACCAAGGCACCCAAGAGGACAAGGCTCATTCCAGTCCCGGCGGGTTGCTCAGTGCTTGGTGACCAGGGGTGTGATCATCTGGGGGAAGGCATAGTAACGGCAGTCCGCGGGCGGCACCAGCGCCATCACCTCTGTGCGGATGTTTTCTCTCCGGAAGCCTGCCTCCTGCAGGGCAGGCACCTGTGTCTCCTGTCGGGAGGGGCGCGGGTCACCCCAGAGCACATGGGACAGGACCCCGGTGTGGGTGCCAGGTAACCCTGGATGCTAGTCCCGACAAGCACCTCGCACAGGCCCAGCGCCAGCCCCCAGCTGACCCCCGAGCCTATTGGCCAGGAGAGCATTGGTCCCTAAGGTCAGCATGGTGCCCAGGTAGGGAGCAGGGAGCAGGGCTGGGGGGCCATGGGAGGCTTGATCTAGTGAGGGAAAACACTAACGACTGACCACTCAAGATCCCTGAGCCCCAAGGCCAGAGTCGGGGCCCTGTGTCACTCCCACGGTCCCTGCCAGGCCCTGGGGTAGGACCCCCACCCCCCCCCCCGTTGCCATCAGGTGGTCGCACCTCAAACATGGTGGTGATGTCCGTGTACTTGGACTTCATGAGCTCGCCCCAGGACGTGAGGTTGCAGTAGGTGAGGACGCCCCCTGGCTTCAGCAAGCGGAAAGCGTGGTTCTGCAGAGAGGCCCGTGGACAGACAGGGTGGAGAGGGGCGGTGGGAAGACGGGAAGGCGTGTAGACGTCGCATGCTCTGCCCACCCTGGCCCTACAGCCTCACCTTGATGAAGTTGAACTGGTGGGTGTGCCAGGTCTCCTCAGACAGCGGGTATGTGTCATACAAGATCCCTGCGGAGGGAGGGAACGCATGCCTGCCAGTCAGGGCCACAGTGTGCCCCAGCTCCCTGGCCTGGCCACGGCTGCCCTTAGCAGTGCTCTCTGCGTGTGGCCTGTCCCCGGTGCACACCAGAGGGGCCCTTGTTGGGGGAGAGCATGGGGGCGCGTGTGTGTGGCGGTCAGAGGACAACCTCCTTACACCACGTGCATCCTGGGAATCGAACTCAGGTCCTCATTCTTGGTGGCAAGCCCCACCAGGCTAAAGAGGGTATGGTGGTGCAGTGGGAGACACAGGCTGCCAAGGCGGATCTGGAGCCAGCGTACTCCCTGGAGCTTGGCCCCTTTGCCGGGCCCACAGAGCCCTCACCATCAAAGTGGCCGTCAGGTAGTGAAGGCGCCACCTCCTCCCACAGGCCTTTCAAGGGAACAACCTTGGGAAGGAAAGGGACAAGAGAGAAGGCTGGGGGTCGCATGGATCCCCAGAATCGAGCCCTGTCTGGGGTTACTCCCAGGCCGCCACCCCAGCGGTACCTTGTGTGGCTGTCGCGGGGCCCAGTCTTGCAGGCGCCGGAAGACCCCATCGTTGCACTCAATGATCCAGTGCTCTTCTATGGGGGCCTGCTGCACCCTGGAGGCCGCAATAGCCATGCCAAAGCCCACTTCCAGGACACAACCCCCTAGGAGGACAAAACCCGTGACAGCTGCCCTGGCCGGGGGAGAGGGGTGTGGAGGTGGGGCCTGGCTGCCAGTCACATGCCTCAAGGACAACTGGCCAGCAGGACCGTGTGGGTGGACAGAACAAAGTAACAGAACAGTGTGGGCCCTGGACAGCTGCCAGTCAGTGTGGCCTGGGAGGCTGCGGACAGGCCACCGCTCTGGGGCCCGGCCCTAGGGAGCCCGGACTCTGAGCCCCGCCGACGCTGTTTGCGCTGGGGCCCTTACCTGACAGAGGCCTGACACCCCACCCGTGTCATCGGACACCAGGACACCAGAACATCACCGGACACCAGGGCCCCATCCGCCCTGTTTAAGGCTGGGGAGCCCCAAACACACATGGCCCTCTCCGACCCGACCCCAGCACCTAGACAGCTGCCTCTCTGCTCAGTTTTCCCAAGCTATTCTTAGCCACAGCCCGGGGAGACTCCGGACCAGCCCAGCCCCACGGCCCTCCGCTCTGCCCCTCAGTTCCACTCAGGGCTGTGATCGGAAGACCCACCCTCCACTGCAGCCCCGGGGAGAAGAACTCTGCCCTCTGGAGAGGAAGTTTCAGTTCGGAGCAGGCGCCTCTGGCGTGCGCCCACACTTTGGCAACACTTTCCCTTCCCGGCCAAAGTGGCCCCAGGGCAGCCCCACGCCCCAAGCAAGGAAACTGAGGCACGCAGCACGCACGGGAACTCCTGCACGCCTGAGCTGCAACCTCCGTTTCCTGGGGCCAGGTACCTCTGGAGGCGGCGGCCGCCGCCAGCGCATGCATATAGGGGGTCTCCCAACGCTCCATCACCGGCTTGCCCAAGATCTGCAGGTGCGTGTCGGACGCGTCATAGGCCGCGGGAGCCGCGCGCCACGCGGGGCCGCAATCCTCGCCGGGCGCGAAGAGCGGGCTGGCGGCGGAGGAGCTCATGCTGAGGATCTGCACACCAGGCCGGCCGAGAGGACACGGCAGCCGAGCGGCAGGGGCGCCGGGGCGGAGTGGGGCGGTGCCTGTGCGCCCAGAGGGAGAGGAGCCTTAGAACGGGGCGGAGTCGGGGGCGGGGCCTGTGCGCCCAGAGGGAGAGGAGCCTTAGAACGGGGCGGAGTCGGGGGCGGTGCCTGTGCGCCCAGAGGGAGAAGAGCCTTAGAGTGGGGCGGGTGGGCGGAGCCGGGGGCGGGGCCTGTGCGCCCAGAGGGAGAAGAGCCTTAGAGCAGGGCGGGTGGGCGGAGTCGGGGGCGGGGCCTGTGCGCCCAGAGGGAGAGGCGCCTTAGTGCGGAGCGGGTGGGCGGAGTCGGGGGCGGGGCCTGTGCGCCCAGAGGGAGAAGAGCCTTAGAGCGGGCCGGG